GAGGTTACCTCGTTTCGAAGGACTCGTCTCGCACAGATGGTGCTACTCCCGCACGGTCTAACGGGCATAGCCGTTTGTTTCGTCTATACACGCGTGGCACGACGAAGGGTACGCGCGCCTGCTGCTCTCATTAGTTGGTTCCTGCGGCTCGCGAAAAAGCCTGGGGGTTAGAAGGCCGACTGGGGTGAGAATGGTGAAAAAGGCGAAAGGGGCGAGACGGGAGATCCAAGAACCCTTCAATTCTTTCGCTCCAGATCTAGCGTCCGTTAATTGGAGCTTGTTTGACTACGCACCAACTTCACCCCTCTTCCTCTCCCTTCATATCTTTTTCTCTTTTACAATCACCCAACTCCCCTCGCTTTCTGTCGCTCTCGTGCGATGCCCCGCCCCCTCTCCACCCTCTCCACCCTCTCCGCCTTGTCCACTTTATGAGCAAATAAATAAACGAATAAATAAGCAAATAAATAAATAAACAAGCAAGCAAGCGCTCGAACGTTTCTTCCCTCGATGGACCAACAACCGTGTGGTATCGTCTCTCGAATGTATTTCGATGGCATTTAGTAACGTAAATTTTATCAGAAATGGAAAACGTTTCTTTTATTAGAAGAACGACGCAGATTTAAAGTTTCACCTCGACTTTATCCTTGTCGAACAATGGCCGTTCATAAATGTGCATAAGATGAGAACCCCTCCCACTGTTCGAATTTGTTTCGAATAAGAAAAGAGGGAAGCTGTTCAAACTGTACCGCTCGGACGTAGAACTGTTTGTACGGCGCTAACGATGAGCAAACAGAGCGGAACGGTTTAACCGATACACTGCCCAAGTCGTATGACTCATCATCATTCGACTGGAGAGACTGACCGAGACGATCAAAGGGAGGAAGAGAATCGTGTCTGTACAATTCATTACTTGAACATTTCGCTTCCTTCTTGAATCATTTGGAATTTTGTTATCCTGTAGCATCCTATGGTACTATAATACGCGATAATGCTTCTGTTACGGGTAGTTGTTTTTATTTCGAAATAGATATCGCCGATGAAATAGTTTCGATTTGCGTGCCGCCGATTGCCATTTAACACTTCCATAAGTCTTCTTCCAACATTAAACGTAGTTTCTCTGTTCCGAACAAGTACCGTCTTCTCGGTTTAACCGATTTCCGGTCCTCGAGAAAGGTGGGCATCCATGTATACACAAGTGTGTAGCTATATACATACGTGTATCGTTTACACGCACCTCGCAAATGTATCCGAAATATAAAGGTTCGCCGATTTGTCGGTAATCAGGAAATGGATCTGTTTGTTGCAGTGTTGAGGGATGAATTCCGCGCAGAACCGCAAAACACTAGAGTTGCGGCTGGAGAAACCGCTTTATTGGAGTGCGGGCCACCTCGTGGACATCCAGAACCAACATTGCATTGGAAAAGAAATGGTCACATGATAGACTTGGATGCTACTAAACGGTATCGCAGTCTCACCGCTATCTTTTTTTCATAGAATCGTTCAATTTTACATTTCGTTGCGGATTCACTGGAAAGGAGGGGAACCAAGGAACAAGAATATAGTATATTCTACTTGAAGAAAATAGCATGAAGCTGTCGATAAATTCTTTGAAAATCGTGTTAAATTACTTCGCTTCGCTCCACCCTACTTGGTTCCGCATCTCTCCTCCGCATCTCGCATTTCTGCTGCACTTGCAAAACGCCTGCATTCATCGACCGTCGCTTTCTCGTGCAGAATCACTTTGGTCGATGGCGGAAATTTGATGATCTCCGATGTCAGACAGACGGACCAAGGAAAGTATCAGTGCGTTGCCGAAAATATGGTGGGCGTGAAGGAGTCTGCAGTGGCAACGTTAACAGTTCATGGTAATGCAAATTTTGCACAACTGCGACAATAAAACGGACACGTCGTTGCTTGTTTTCACTTGTTTCCACTTGTTTCCATGTCCTTAGTGAAGCCGTATTTTCTGGCAACTCCCGCCAATCAAACCATCTTGACGGATCAAACGGCCGAATTCGCTTGCCGCGTTGGCGGCGATCCTCCGCCCGAGATACTTTGGAGGCGAAACGATGGAAAAATGCCGATTGGTCGAGCACACATTTCGGACGACAAGAGCTTGCGAATCGAGAAAGTAACATCGCTGGATCAGGGCACGTATATTTGCGATGCTGAGAACGGTGTCGGAGCGATATCGGCGAGTGCATATCTGACGGTACACTGTGAGTGTAGTGACTATATTTATAGAATAGTTGTTTGTACGCGTTAAGAAGTTCGCGTCGATTCAATTCGTTCGTTCTTCTTTTGCAGCGAGGCCGGTCTTTACTAATTTTCCAAAGGACGAAGCGGTCAACATCGGTTCGAACGTGTCGTTTTCTTGCGCGGCACGCGGCGCTCCGAAGCCCTCGATATTTTGGACTCGCGAGGGTTCCCAAGAGCTCATGTTTCCGGGAAACGAATATCAAGGTCGTTATAGAATCACAGGCGACGGTAATCTGTATATTATGGGAGTCTCGGCGAAAGACGAAGGACATTATGTCTGCAGCGCAATCAGTCAAGCTGGGGCGAGTACAGCGACAGTTTTCCTCCAGGTACCATCGTCTCTGTTGCACGCGTGAAAGTAGAATACTTTGCTCGAAGGACCTGGCGTGATAATGTTTTATTCGTCGTAACAGGTCACATCGATCGAAGAAACCCCGCCACCCATCATCGAGTTGGGAGCGCTGAATCAAACGTTGCCCCCAAAGAGCGATGCTGCGATGGTGTGTCGCGCAGTCGGTAGACCGCCTCCAAAGATACACTGGTTCAAGAACAAAGAACCTGTGCGACACGACGCCGGGGAAAGGTTTACGATCGCGGGAAATGGTACTCTCTTGATAAAGAATCTTCAGGCGAGCGACACCGGCGTATACAGTTGCGTTGCCTCTTCCGAGTTTGGCAATACGTCGTGGTCCGCAAGTTTGACGGTCAGTGCAGGGGCGAGTTACCGTGACGTCGGTGTTGGGTCGGACGCGTCGGCTTTGCCCGAATCTCCGAGCAAACCGAGAATAGTGAACACGACTAGCAACGCGGTTACGCTTACATGGAGCCCGGGTCACGAGGGCGTCGGCAAGATCATCGATTACACCGTCGAATACTTTGCTACGAATCCAAAGACCGGCTGGGTGGTTGCCGCCACGGATGTGACCAACGATATCTATACCGTAAGGATACAATTATTGTATATCTGCGCGCATCGGATGCGCGTAACGTTCGGATTTGGTCGCATCTAGTTACCTTTTCATCTTTCTTTCTTTCTCTCTCTTTCTCTCTCTTTCTGTCACTCTGTCACTCTTTTTCACTCTCTTTCTCTCTCATTCTTT